GCCGACGTTAGTCGTCAGGGCTGTACAGTGGCAGCGCTGAGCTGCACCGTGGCGGAGCCGAAGTGTCAGACCAAAGCCAAAAGAACATATGTACAGCACCGTTATCACTTAAATGTCAGGCATGACACATGTTGCAACCCTTTCTCACGTTTCGAATAAGCAATTTCCTTTTTTCCTTCCTTGAACATGGTGCTGTCAAGTATATCCAAACACTCTGAGTACATCTCCGGAAAGTTTCTAAAGACACGCTCAACTTATTTGTTCAGCCTAGAAGTATGAAACATTTTAAAGTCTGATGCCAAACGCACTGCCAAGTATAATTCTTCATTTATTTATGTGTCTTATCTTGGGGAATTTCAAAGTGCTGGTCTGACAAAAATACAGTTTTCCTTTGTTTAGTTGAATGAATTCAGAACTTAAAAAAAAGAAAAAAGAAAAAGAAAAAGTCAGACTTATTACATAGGAGTAGCGTCCACAGCCCTAGTCTGGTCTGGCTTTCTGGTTTTGGAGATGCTGTGTTGGTCGCACTGTGGAAGAGCTTACATTAATTAACTGAAAAATGAATCTTCATTATTTCAGGGTAAAAGTTTCCTCATGGAAACGTGTGCTCTTCCAGACTGTTTAATCTAGCAAAACACAGAACTGAAAACCAGGAAAAGAAAGGAATAACCTCTGCACAAGCTTACGTCTGCCCCTTGCATCCTACCCGCCCTCTAAACTGGTCAGAGCTGTGGTAGACAGAGGCAGAACATGCTGAGCAGTCCACCTTTCCCTGAACGGGATCAAATTAAAAAGGTGTGCATCTTGAGAAACTAAATGCTAAATGCAAGCTGTATTTAAGCCTGAGGGGGCAGTAAAAAGGGTTCTAAAGAGTTCTAAAATTTAGCAAACAGCATTGTTTCTAAAGAGCAGGCTAAATGTTTGTCTTTTGGGCAGGTGTAGGTAGCTCCTGTCCTGTTTGAACTAAGGCCGTGTGGGCCTACAGCTGCACAGAAAAGGCTTGTTCAAAGCAAGGGCAAGTTAGATTTGCCCAGAGTGTTACTGAGTCCTCTGTTTCTATAATCCAGAAACCAGAGTTTTCTGGAACTCAGTGCAGTGTACCACAAGCGTTGCTCAGTGTTCATGCATCTATCTGCAACACCCTTTATCACTGAATAGCAAAAAAGCAATTCCCTCTTGTAGGAGAGGGTGGTCATTTACTCAGGTGCGGTCGTTCTGTAAGATTGATAATGCGGAGGCAAGGTAGAAATAGGATGAGGCTCGGTAATTTCTGAGCGCCCTTTGCTACTGTACCTTGTGTTACGCTGGAAGAAGAGTTATGGTCATGCACTGAAACACTTTGATTTGCAAAGCCTGGCTAGGAAGAGTAAGCCATTGTTCTATCTTACCACGTAGCTTCTTGATCTGCCTTGTCTACTTGCTGCCCTAAAATCATCACTCGGGTTTCCTCTCCTCTGCTCCCCAACACGCCCAAGACTCTCCTCCAGTTCCATTAGCTACGGGAATAATTTTCTTTTTGAAACTTGCCAAGGCAGCTTTGAATTTTTGGCTGCAATGAGATTGCTTTTCCCCATAATGCTAAAAAAGAAAAGAAAGGGACTGTTTTGTAGGCACGACTTGTGGCAACTGTTACTGTCCTTCCTTGCCTGCTAGATTTCTGACAAAAGTTAAATCCAAACTGACACAGGCAGGGTATAGCAGAGGCTCAGTGCTTCCTGTGGGAGCCCTAGAGCTGGCCTAGTTGCGGAAGCAGAGCAGTCCGGAAACCCTTTTGGCTACCAATTTCACAAGAGTGTGGGTGGTTCCATTGGATTTTCACTTGTACTGAGTTTTTGCTCCTGACACCACTTGCAGCAGTGGCTACCGTGTACTAATTGTACTAAGCAGGAAAAACGTTGAGTTAACGGGGCCACTTGGAAGATGTTTAAACAAGCTTTGGTTTGATTTCCCAACTATGTGCAAAAAACTAATCATTTTTGTTGGTCGCGTTCAAGAAAAGCCATTTAGAGCTGCAGCTCAGAGTGCCGTTTCCCAAGAACCCCTCATTTGAATCTTCCCAAATTTGGGACCGTCACTCTATCCTTCGCTTCTTGTGGTTGCCTGAGATATTGTGCAGGTTGAGTAACCCTGAGCATTTGAGAGCATGCCTGAGCAGAAGGGAATTGTCAAAAGTTTTACCCGAGCAGAGCCGCTGCTCCCGTGTAATGCGTGCATGCTTGTTCCAAGCCATGCGTTGTTCAGCAGAACTAAAGTCTATCAGGAATGGTCACAAATCTGCCTCCATGCCTCCTGACTGCTAGGGTTTGCATTTGGATCACCTCACTTATTGACAGATGTGTAAAATTTTATATACTACACTCCCACAACTCCCTTGCGACTGTCCTGCTGCAGATGCTGGTGAGCCTAAGTTTTGGCAGCTGTGTTAAACATTCATAGGCATTCAGATTTTTTTTTTTTCTCCCTGCAGCCCTGTCTTTTCTTATATGATAAATTATTGCATGGAATTGTTTTAGGTTAATTCTGCCTGTTTATTGGTAATGTCCCGTTCTTACAGTCGTTTGTATGCAAGTGCAAAAGATAAGTCCGTGGAGGAAGAACAGGTCTTTTACTGGAAGAAGAGACCGTAGCAGAGGATAGAGAGTAAAATGCAGATGGTGTTGTCAGCCTCTTTAAATATACAAATAAGGACAAAACGCGATCGTCCATGTAGCTGGAATGAAATCATACGGCCTTGCATGTGTTTCTGCCACAGCGTATTTCTCTGGTGTGAGCAAGAGATGCTAAATTCTGCCTTACGCAGGATGTTATTTGACCAAAAGCTCGTGCTTGCTCCTTTAATCAGCAGCAGAATAATGTGTGTATTAACTTTTCTCTGCACATTAATTCTTTTTTTTTTTCCTACAAAACGCCATTTAATTTTAAATGCTAATATGCATGTGGTTAATTAAGAAGCCAGAATTGACTATAAGGTTGGTAAGCTCCAAGGAAGAGAGAGGAAGATCATTACACTTCTGTTCATAGATAGCTATTTGTGAACCAGCTGATAATGTGCAAAATTAAGATTTCGTAAGTGGCATTTTAAATGAATGGTTAATGGCTGAAGATTAATTAAACAGTCAGAGTTGTTCAAAAGAGAAGCTGTTAAAATCTTGTTTATAGGCCAGTCACTTGCATACTTAAAGTGCAAACCCTAATAGCATGTGGTATTTCCATTTAGCAGGCAAGCAGGGTAACTGGGCTATTTTCCTTGAACAAGGAAAAGTACCTTGCTGGATATGCAGTATGGATGGATATATGTAGTGTTGTGTACTGCGGATTTTTTCCGTAATTAATAATGGTCTGGTAGAAGTACAGACGAAGAAATGCATTTCCTCTGGGAGTTTGGTAATCCTAAATAAAATTACTAAATCTTATTTTAATTAAAATGTAGGGGACGTGGCTAAATCTGGTGTGATTTTCTTTTCCCCCTACTCTCCCGTAGCGTGTTCTGCGTAATACGCTTTGGGGTTTCCAAGGTGCCCGGGTTTGCCTCGCTCGCGGTCGTCTCCCGTCAGAATCGGTCTCTCTGGCCCTGCTGTTAGCCTTGCAGGCTTGCACTAGCTGAGAAGGAAAAAAAAAAAGACACATCTTTCAGTCAGGTCTGTTCTGTGCTGCAGTTGTGGTTAAATGACGAACGTCAGCTTCGTCCCGCTTCCCTGGCTGAAGAGGAGCAACGAGCAGAAGGTCGCTACGTTGCTCGCAGTGGCGAGGCTTGCGTTTCCAAGGTGGCCTGTGCCAAGGAACCTTTTCCGCTGTTTTTTCTTTTGTTTTCTCTTTCTCTCAGCCAGGTTCCCAGCTCTCTCTGTTACCGTCTGCTGGTTGCCTCCCCCGGCCCTTTCGGACACAGTTACTTTGCCGTAGCATCTCCTAGCTCCTGGACGTGCAAGTCGTTCCAGAGAAAGCCCCGGGGGCCTAGCCTTGCGCAGGCTTTGCTGGACAGCCCAGTGTAACCTCAGTCCGCGCTGCTGACTTCAGGGAGCTCGTGCTCTGTCCAAAACCATGACTTTCCAAAAATCCTCTACTGATTCTTTTCTGAGCTGCTACCAGTTAAATGCAAGGAAGACGTTCTTTCCTTCAGTCGTGGTACAGATGATCTCGGTTTAATAAAACCGATCAGTAGAGGAGAGTATGGGATTTTGCCATCCTACATTAAGTGTGTACATGCTAAGGCTATGTCATTTTTTTAGAGGTGGAAGAGGCTGGAGGTGAGGAGCCTAGACCAGCTCACATGTATGAGCATCCATCTGTTCAGACTGCAGGTGATGGCATGAGCCCATGGCAAGCTCTCTCCTGACTTTCCCTGTGTTAGGCTGATTTTGTGGCTTC